AATTACCCAGATGAAAGGAGGCAGGATAAGAACCAGAGAATATGAATGCCAGATCGAAGGTGTAAAAGGATAGACTCCGTTGCCATTTAAATCTGGGTTCACCTGCATCATCTGCTCTGATTCCTACAATGCTGTCAGGTAGATAGATGCCACAGGTTTTCCTAAACTGAAGCCCCATGAAATTACATGCTTCATCCAAAGCCGATAAAAATGGTAACACCAAGAGTTGATTCCTTCATCTTCTGTTGATTCATTCATCCAATAAATATTTATGAACCTACTACCACATGCCAGGTATTGTTCCAAGTCCTGTGATAGGGGCTGAAGAACACGATGGTGGATTGATTATACGAAGACTTATTCTAATGGCAGAGACAGGAAATAAATGCATAATATAATGTTACAAAGTGATGAGGCTGTGAAGAAATACCCTGTAGGGGAGGAGACAGAGTGAAGCAGGGTTCTCTTTTACATGGAGTAGAGATTCTGTACTCTTAAGTCCTGAGCTCAGTCGTCTGCTTCCTTATAGCTGCAGGAAGCTGATGGCCGTGCAATGTTGTGTAGCCTTCTTCTGCTTCAGATGCTGCCCAGGGCTTGGGATGTACACATCTGAGCACGGAAACACATCCAGTGCACGGTTCCCCCCTCCCCGCAGTCGCTGCCTTACCTAACTTTACATGTAGACCATATGCTCCTTAGTGTAAGAATCCCTTACACAGGGTTTACAATAAAAATATGCTCATTTATCCATTGATGGATTTATAAAATAAAAGCAATTGAAAGAACTGGAATATAGTTCCCTTAATTAAATATTCATAAACATTATATTCAAGTCATTGGAGAGATCCCAAATTTCTCCAAAATAAGCCTAGCCTCTCCACCAATCCCTAAATCCTGTGTGCCCCAGGGTCAAATTAGGTCCCTCTAGAAAACCAAATCAGTTTAGGCGGTAAGTAATAAGGCAGCCGTGTCATAGGTGATATTTCTGCCAAGAGAGGCCTTGTGACATTGCAGGTCGTGGTGAGGAACAGGAGGAGTTTGAAGAAAAGACCAAGAAAAGGAATCAGCCCCATTATTAAAACCAATCCAAGCAGTACTGAGTAATAAATTGACCAGGGTGACAAAGACAAAATGAGATCAGCTACTTTATCTGTTTAATTTTCACAAATATATATCAGTCCCTTTTTAATTTTTTTTAAAAAAATTTATTCACAGCACCATTGAATATTTTTCACCTTTAAAAGGTACGCATATGTACATACATTGTTGGGGGATTCACATGCAATTAGTAATGATTTATTTAGACTCCCATATAAAGAGTTTTAACAATTCCTTCAAATGTGAGGATTACACTTTTGCAAAATTGCCTGTGAGGACAGAAGAAATTTAAGCAACAAAACTCCACATAATATTGTAACATAACCTCAGACCCTCAGGAAGGGGTCACTCTCCCTAGAAAATCAGTGTTCTGGCTTGTTTTCATGGGAATTCAGAGCGGGTTCAGTGTCACTGGCCTCACTTTACTAACAGGTGACAGTTGATCATCTAGCAAACATCCAAGAAAGTTTCGTGTAAACAAAAATGTCCAGAATAAAACACCGGAAAAGAGAAGCACCAGAAAAACACACATCTGCATTGCCTAAACTTTAGGTTTATAAGAACATGGAGATTACATGGCGGACTGTGGCCCAACACAAACTCCATTTGAGAAACTAGTCTCCTGTTTCAAAACCTCATTCCCACCTGTGACCGGCTGAGTGAAAATATACTCAGAAATATAAACAGGTGACAATTGATAGGGTGAATGACTGCTATTAAACAGGCATGCAGTCAGGGATTATTAATCTAAATTCAAAGTCCAAATCAGGTCATCTTTCCTCATTTTTTCCCAAACCAGTCTTTTTTTGCAGTGTGAAAGAAGAATACGTTCAAATGAGGAAATGGATTCTTCCTTCTTGGGGAAAACGGATACGATTGAGAAGAGGGTAAAGTTAGCCATAAATAATTAAACATTTTTTTAAATGTCTGAACTTGTCATTAGCAGTAAGATGAGCAGCTTACCAGGAACTAACAACAAGAAACATTATCAAGCTTAAAAAACTTAAATATGAGGAATTAAACCCCTTAACCCTAAGAATCAGTTGTGCTGATATTATCCAGTCTCATTTAGTCGAGGGCCCAACAAACTGAGGCCATCCCGGAACAGAGGAGACCAGACAGGACAGCGAGGGCTACGCATTTCTCTTCTCCCACTGCCACAATGACCAATCTGCATAATCGGATTTGTAAGGACTTTTTGTTTCAAATTAAATATTTTTTCTTTAAATATCCAAAGTTCCTATGCAGAGTCAACTGTGTTTTTTTCTTTTTTCTTTTTTTTTTTTTTTTAAACAACAGTTCGATTTAGCCTTTTAAAATATCTTCTTAAAGAGTGGATTTTGCAGACTTCATAATTGAAAGGACTATTGAGCTCTGGACAGGTTTTCATCAACAACGTCCCTAAACGAAAAGCTGGTGGTCCAAAACTGGAGGCAAAATTTTTCCCTAATGGATATGCGGCAGTGTCTGTAGATTATTTTTGGTGGTCACAGTGTGGGGGGAAGCTACTGGCATTTATGAATAGAGGTCAGGGAAGCTGCTAAACATCCTGCATGGCAGAGCCCCCCACACCAGGATGAGCCAGTTCAAAATGTCACAGTGTCAAGATCGAGGGCCTCTGGTGTAAGCATCACACAAGCTCTTAGGGCAGCTGCCTCAGTATAATCTAAAATCTACCTCATTGATTTCCTTGACATTCAAAACATCCATCCCCCTAACTTTGGAGTTCCTAATTGTCTGCCACGAGTTTGCTCATTCAACGGCAAAAGAAGTGACTAAATAGGAAGCATAATTTCAATTCTTCCTCTAATAATGTCTCCCTAATTTATTGATAGTTTGTCAAAAAATTAGAGAAATAATATTTTCCTCTGTCAACACTGGAGTCTGAATATCATATTGGCCAAATATGAAAAAATTAACCTCTGAGGGTTTGGAGGGGGTGTTTTTGTATTTTTGGAGACAGAGTCTCACTCTGTTGCCCCAAGCTAGAGTGCCATAGCATCAGTTTAGCTCATGGCAACCTCAAACTCCTCAGCTCAAGCAATCCTGCCTCAACCTCCCAAGTAGCTGGGACAACAGGTGCCCAACCATGACACCCAGATAATTTTTCTATTTTTAGTAGAGATGGGGTCTCACTCTTGCTTAAGCTGGTCTCAAACTCCTAAACTCAATTGATCCTCAGCCTCCCAGGGTGCTAGGATTATGACATAAGTTCCCAGGCCCTGCCAACCTGTGTTCTCACAATCACATTTCTGAGCTGGAAAATAAATAACAGTCCTTCCTATAACTGGTGTTGAAATAATGTGGGAAGGGCCCTTTCTAGAGAAGGCCGGGTGAGGACACAGGACAGTGAATCCCTGATCCGACAGAGAACGTCATAGACTTTCAAAAACTTATATTCAGCTCTTAAAAAAAGAGAGAGAGAGAGAGAAATTTTGGGGAATTAACCTATGCACACAGGAATACGGAGCTAAGTAGCAGTGTTTCTAAATCTTGAAGAAAAATAGTACTATTTCAATCTCCTGTTCATCAGATCCTCCTGCCACCAACCAGGGCTGGCTCAAAGAGGGGAAAGAAAGTCCTTATCTCCTTGGAAGAACTAAAAAGCAGGACAATTAAAGGAAGGTGCCCAAGTGAAAGTCCCAAAGAGTAGGCATCACAGTGCCAGAAGTGGCTAAGGCAATCCCATTTAGTCTAATACAAAAATATTGCACATAGCTTATTTGGACATTATTAAATGCAATCAGCTAAACTGTTTTAAAAAGTATTATTTCACATTTACTCTAGTCCATAATTTGGTATGTTCATAAGTGTCAATCAAAATAGTTTTCTGAGGGCCGGGCGAGGTGGCTCATGCTTATAATCCCAGCACTCTGGGAGACCGAGGCGGGTGGACTACTTGAGCTCAGGAGTTTGAGTCCAGCCTAAGCAACAGCAAGATCCCATCTCTAAAAAATAGCCAGGCATTATAGCGGGCACCTATAGTCCCAGCTACACAGCAGACTAAGGCAAGAGAATCACTTGAGAATCACTTTGAGGTTGCTGTAAGCCATAACACCACTCAACCCCAGGGGGACTGAGTGAGACTGTCTCAAAAAAAAAAAAAACTTTTCTGAGGTTAGATTTAATTATATTAGAATTAAGCGTCTTTTCCTTTCCAGAAAAAATACTTTAGAGATTTAAGTATGAATGCAAAAGCAATGCATTCCTTTTGCCCAGTTCTTCCAAAAGTGGAAAATTGCAATTTTTCCCTATTAACAAAGGGAGAATTATGTGAAATCGAATTAGACTTTCAAATTTGAATTTCTTCTTTAGTTCCAACTAAGGCACCTCAACCAATGCTTATGTAGGAGAATTGGGCCCACATTTCACCATGGTAAGTTTCTCAGAGACTCCTATGGTTTCTTTGAGTATATGCTACACTTTTAATACTAAAAAAGGAAATGTCTTACTTTTTACCCCCTTTAAGCTTATAAAGTGCATTATAAGCTAGCCCATTAAACTTCTAGCAATCAAAACATCTGCAGGCATTTTTCTATTTACCTAATTCATGGCCAGTTTAAATCAGATAATAAAATTTCAAGGAATAAAAACACTTCCTACCTATTGATCACAGGAGCTTAATCATTTCAGCCTTCAATTTGGGACTAAGACAAAATTTTAAAATATTTCTGGTGAAATATTTGGTTGTGGAAATAGATAAATCCTGTATAGATTCTAACCAAGACCTTACAGTCTAAGAAATGATCATTTTTGAGTCAATCCTGAAACCTATCAAGGATCCTAGCTCTCTAGTGAGGTATCTCTAATCTTCTTTAATCTATGTAACTTTCATGGTTTAAATACTGATGCCTAAACGATGTGTTAAATATGTGACAGATGCTTCGCCACAACCAATATGGTTCGGTTATGGGTCTGTATCAGATTATAAAACATTTATTTGAACTTGGTGATCTGGATCAGAGACATAAAGGAAAACTCTAAGTTCCTCAAAGCACATTAAAGTCAGCAGTTAAATTAATTCTCATTTCTCCCTTGGACATCGACTTTTCCATCAAGGTACTAGTTGCAACTATAATAAATACTTTAAAATGTATCTAATTAAAGAAAAGACAGTCTAGCTTATTTTTTTGAAAGGAATGAACCCTCAATATTATATATTCTCCTATCTCGGGAATACTCATTTATTTCTAGTAAATTCTGTATAGATCAATGTGATCCTATGAAAGAAAACTCAAAACAAATTTGGACAAATAAGTAAATCATTATCAAAGCACTAAATGAAAACAGTCCCGACTGTACTGACTCTAAAAGGCAGTATATAAGTACTTGTGTCATACTTAAGAAAGTAAAAATATATTTAAACATCTGAAACACCCTATAGCCGCAATTCAGTACACAGCAGAAAGTAAACATTAGTTTTTTCTCATCTCACATAATGACAAAATGGTTAAAAACGACTTCTTTTCTGCCCCCTTCCTATTAAACTGTACCTCCTTTAATGTTCTGAGAACATGTTTCTACCTTAATAGGTATTTATTTTACATTTATTTTAAAATGAATCAAAGAAAAAAGATATGTCTGCAGTGCCATAAATACCTAACCTTCCTTCCTTATGATCTTTAACAGAATGGAGAAAATATAGCTCTGATTCAGTTATTTTCAACATATTTAGGCTATGAGCTCACCTGAGAGTCAGTCAGAAGTTCTAATCAGTTTAAAAACAAGAACTTCCTTGAATACTGTGTCTACATTCACTGAGTTCCAGCCTCTGATGTCCCTGATATATACACCAGTGCAGTTCACTCTAGAAAAATGAATGTTCAAGCTAAAACTATCCAACAGCAGCATGAGACCCCCAGGGGAATGGAAAGGGGTTATCAGTTACATAAAGATTAACAGACACATCCAACTAAAATCCCAAACAGCCAACCCCTCAGTAAACCCAGAGAGCCCACACTGCAAGCTTGATCAGAGCCTACACCCCACAGAGCTCTTTCCACAAGCCAAGGTGGTGGTTCCAAAGTGCCTTGTCTATAAAGTCTGATCGTGTGGGTACCAGATTAAAAATGTGTGCTGTTGACATAACACTGGTCCTCCTGGGTTGTAAGCGATTGTCCATGGTCCCTTGGACATCCATCCAAAGGGATTTCAATGGCCACTTCTGTTGTGTCTCTTCTGCTGAGGCCATCACTTCGGTATATGTCTAGTGGGGGGCTGCCATTCTGTTCAGCACAGCCATTGACATGGGCCAGAGGTAGCACACCAGGGGGACAACAAAGCTGCTTAGCACAGCCCTTGGAGATGCAAGGCGAGCTGCAGAGCAAAAATAAGTCCTTCTGCTCCAGGGGCTCTTCCAAGTCCACATTTTCAAACTGGATGGTCACATTATGGATTCCTGCCTGATGGAAAATTTCTCGGATTTTCATGCTGGCGTCCTGATGTCCCCTGTCCTGATATTTGATGTGCAGGGTAGCAATGATCTTTCCACTTATAAGTTCCCAGATGTGCACTTCATGTACACTACTAATTCCAGGCACGGCAGAGAGTTTACTCACTGGAATAGAGAAGAGCAAACAACGGCCAAGATGAGTGGGGAGGGCTCAATGTGAAATAGGGACAGATGGGAGGAATACAGCACTTTAAACATTTTCACCAAAAGGACTGTGTTTTTACTAAAAATAATGGGAAGAAAAAAATACCTGTCCTCCATGGGTACATTTGCTCGGAATCTTTATTCTCCTCCCTGAATTTCCATGCTACACATGGTTAGCCCATATGAAGTCCTTTAAGAAAATAAATTTAACAATAGCAAGAAAACAATCTCCAGGGTTGGGTATATAAGGGAATGGACACTCTGATGGACTTCCAGTGGGAGTATAATGTGGAATGCATTTTTTAAAAGGGATGATTTGACAATATGAATAAAAAACCTTTACCAGAAATTCTAGTACTAGATATTTAATCAAAAAGAGAAAACCACATATGTGTGTTCAGTGATGATTTGGACAACACTTTGTATTCATGAAAAAATGGAAACAACAAGGAAATAGTTAAATCAATTCTATGATGGAATAGGACAAGGCTGTCAAAAAACCAAGTCGCAAGTCGAGCGCGGTGGGTCATGCCTGTACATCCTCACAGTCTGGAAGGCCAAGGTGAGTGAACTGCATGAGCTCAGGAGTTTGAGACCAGCCTGATCAAGAGCAAGACTCCACCATTGCTACTAAAAATAGAAACATTAGCAGGGTGTGGTGGTGCTGACCTGTAGTCCCAGCACCTTGAGAGGCTAAGGCAGGAGGATTGCCTGAACCCAGGAGTTTGAGATTGCTATGAGCTGGGCAAATGGCACTGTACTCCAGCCTGGACAACAGAGTGAGACTCTGTCCCCCCAAAAATTGCAGTTGAGTCAGAAAATCATGGGTTGCAAAGGACCTTTGGTTCTTGGAGCTGTGAATCATCCTACAAGGCAATAAAACAACTGAAAGATGTCCCTGTAACCTGGTGATGTAAAGGATCTAAGAACACATAAATCAAATACTGCTGTGAAATTATGCAGGCCCTTTGGCCTGAGTCACATTAACTCAACAGTGGCTCTAGATCAGCATCCAGTCTACTTACTCAGCTCTTCCATGTTGACCCCTTTGGGGACCATCTGCAGCAGAATGGCAGCCGTCTCCTTGATCAGTGGGAAGGCAGATGACAAAATGATGATGACCATGGCTATAGTCAGGCTGGGGTCAATGTAGCACTGCCAGTTACATTCCTTGTTTTCCAAGGGAAGCACATAGAATATGATGGCTGTGATGACCACAACTACAGATCCCAGGGCATCTCCCATCACATGCAAAAGCACACCTGCCAGGGAGAAAGAAAGACTGCTGCAGCAAGATCCACGTCCGGACGCCAGGTGACACGCAGTGACTTTCTCAGTATATCGATACCTGTGGCTATTTATTTTCTTTTTGGTTAGAACAGCAGAAGGGATCAGAATTTAAATTAAAAGAAGAAAAAAGTAACTGCTTCTCAGAAAATAAAATTCCAAGCCACCATCTTAAGACTCACAGAACCTGGAAAGAAGAAAGCCTAGGAAGATTCTGAGCAGTGGTCACTTGTAAGAAGAGTGACCTGGCT